CCTACCCCCAAGTGATTTTATAACTTTGGTTACGGAATCTAATGTTTTTTTGTTTTGTTTTGTTTCTTAAATGTTTTTTTTGTTCCCTTATGGCTGAGGGGAATCCAATGTTTTTTGATGAGAACACTTGTTAAGGTACAGCTGGCATGAATTCTGGAATCTAAATACCTAATCTTAAAACCCAGCTCTGCTTTTTTGTAGCTGTGTGACCTCTGGAAAATTACTTACCATCTTTGGACTTCAAACATGTCACCTGTAAAAAAATACGGATTATAGTCTCTAAATTTGAGAGTTCCTGTGAGACTGTATTCCATGAGGAAAGAGACCCAGCATCTTGTGCTTAGCTTTGTCAAATAAAAACAAATCTGGGCTTAGATAGAGATTTTAATTAGAAAGAAAGACCCACTGCAATAGGGAGAGCATTCTGATCTCAGAAATTTACATGCGGTTCAAAATCAAACAGAAAGGTGTTGCTTTTTGTATAGAGTAAAAGAGGGGCGAGCAGAAATAAGCAGGACCTTTGGAGAGGAAGCAACCCTAAACTGGGTCTGACAGGACAATGTTCCCAGGAAAAGTTGATCAAGGGACATATTTCACTTTTTTTAGTGTTTGCTCTGTCTTGGAGGCAAGCAAGAGTTCAGAGGCCTGTAGGAAAGAGAGAAGCTGACTAAAGTTCGGTCAAGACAAAGCAGACAGTAAGAAATGAGCAACTGGACACTTGGTCAGTTTTTACCAATAAAAAGCGCACAACGTTTTCTATTAGCAATAGACTGTAAGCTCGAGAACAAATCATTCTGAAGGCTGATGAAATAATCTACAGAACACCACTGAAACAGAGAGCCAAAAAAGCCAATCACATTTGGGAGACAGAAAATATAAAACTACTTCATCCCTACCTGTTGCTATTCAAAGAAAAATTCCATCCCAGCAGTGGAGAGAAATAAAAGGTGGAAAGTGAAAAAGAGAAGTACAATTTCCACACCCATCATGTTATCTCTAAGTCTTGAACCACTAAAGTTTCTCCCACCCTAGTTCCCCATCCTAGGCAAAGAGGTCTCCACCCAACAATTGCAAAAGTTTAGAGAATATGCAAACCACACTACTTTCCTATTGGATACCACAGAGGATAAGTCATGATGAGCTAAACTTCATATGAGAAATTGACTGGATTTCATGTGAATAGAAACTTGAACTTGAGCCAGTTAAGTCTATTATAACTTGCACATCTCTCCATTTGATGTTGCCAAGTTGTGGGTCGCTGAGAGTTCAATAGTCAGCTGAACAACCCCAGTGTCCAGATTTAGAAAGAGAAACAGCTTTTGAAGAAGTAAGCAAGATCATTACCAGGCTCTGCATGTACAGTCAACAAACATTTATTGAGCCCTAACTGGGATGCGATGGTAGGCGAAGCAGATTTAGACGTAAACCCAAACGGGTTCCTCCCCCTTCAGGAAATCCCCAAATTGTGTGTGTGTGGGGGGGGGGATGTTAAGGGAGAAGAGTTGTGTGGAGGAAACAAATTTAAAAGCATCAAAACACATTCTAACGTGGCAAGTGTTCAGGGTGCTGAGGTAGCACAGAGAGGTGTCCCAGCCTGGTAAACCTTAATGACCAAGACCCTCCAACCAGAGTCCCAGGGAAACGTTCTTCTAACTTAAAAAAAAAAAAAAAAAAAGGACCTGAATCTCACCTGTCCGGCCCTGTAGTGTCAAGTTCCTGAAGAAACCCACCAGATTTAGACTAACTGTCCTACCCAGGTTCACAATCCCCAAAGTCTGCTTTCTTCCTCAGGGTCCCCAATCCCAGACCCTCCATTTCTCCTTCCTCCATCTCAGGGTATCACTCCTGGGCGTCCCCCACCTCAGGTCCACCCCTTCTGGTGCCTCCCGCGTCAGGTCTCCCTTCTCCGCTTTGGGTCCTCTTTGAGGCCCCCGGCTCACTTGCGCATTCTCAAACCTGCTGTCCCCGCCTCCACCCCTAGCCCTCTACCCCGGATACCTCGGACGCGGTCCAGCACTCTGGGATCTTTGAAGTCACAGTAGATTAGGAAGCGGCACACCTGCTCCGGGTCCCAGATCTTGTGGTTGCGGTGGAGCTTGGAGTCCGGGGACTCTGCAGCCGCAGCGGCAGCGGCAGCAGTGTTCGGCGGGGTTCTTAGAAGGCTGGCATCGAGTCGGCACTTTTTGGGGGTCTGCTCGGAGTCGGAGCACTGCATGGCTAAAACCAGAGCTCCACAGAGAACAGTCAAGAACAGCGGCGCACGGCTCTCACGCAGGCGCACTGACAGCCCGACTCTGGTGGCGAGTTAGCTGGCTCAGCGTTGCCAGCCTACTGGCCTCCGGCGCAGGCGCACTGACAGCTCAGACCTCAGGGCCAGACAGCCCAGCCACTTCAGCCAGCTGGTACTCTGCGCAGGCGCAATGATAGTCCAATGGTTCCCCCACCCCCCTACCCCCACTCCCCTTCTGGCGTTTATGAGAAACTGAACTGGGAGAAACGGAACTAAGGGTGGTGCTAATAAGGGCAGGGGCGTGGAAGTCTGGCCACCATCGGAGCACGGGCTCGTATAGTGAATTGAGGGTATCTTTCTCCGAATGAGTACCCCTGGCTTACTTATGTTTCAGGTGCCCCAAACTTAAAAGAAACCTAAAAGGTTATCAGGCTGCCAGCATCTTCCCAATGAAGAGAGAAATGGGCGAGAAGCTGAACTAGAAGACACTGGAATGACTCCAGATCTGATCGAGAAGGTGTCTTTTTGCATTTCAGAAGTTCTCCAGTATTGCTGGACAGTGAGAGGGTCCTGGGGATGCCTGTCCATGAACTCTTAGCCTATCTTCAGGTTTCCATATAGGAACTGACTTCAGACTTCTCTCCAAAAGAATCCACAACCCCTCTCTCCATCCCAACACCCTGCCCAGATGAAAACAAGTGACCGATCTGATTATTTAGAGTTTATCTTCAAAGACTTTTACTACCTGGTGGTAACAGTCTGAAAGTGGCAGGCATCTCCCTCTCATTTCAGCCACTCTGGAGCAGCATCCAAACTTCCCTATAACTCCTGGTCCATGTGGGTAACTGGTAAAAGGACTACTACTATCACTTCTAAAGCCAATATACCTTCCTATTAACCCAGCCATGGACCCACATAGGGGTTAAAGGATGAATGAGGCAGGTAATCATCAAGCCATATGAACTAGCAAGTTAGTAGTGAGCAAAATATTCTTAGCAAACGCTTTGATCTTTACTGCCAGACACCGTTCTAAGGGCTTCACAAATATTTATTCATTTAAGTATCACAATAACCTTAAGATGTAAAGAACTGAGGTACAAAGAAACAAGTAATTAGCCTAAGGTCACACAGCTAGGAAGTCATGAAACCTGGATTCAAACCCAGGCACCCTAGCCTGGTTCCAAAGTCCATGTTTTTAATTACTTGCCAACAATTGCTTATTAATCGGAGTTTCGATATAAAATTATTTTATATTAATTAACTCAAATTTTAAAATTTCTTCCTTGTCCTATACTCCCGTGGGAGAAAGTACAGAGAGGTATACTTGCCCTCCATCTACACAGAAGGGCCAGCCTCAGAATAACTTGAGGGAAAACAAACAGTTGTCAAGACTTGTGAAACCAAAACAAAGTGGTAAAAGAGATTATCAAATAGCATATGTGTGCAAAACATATTTTACCTTGGAAACAGCTGGTTTGAAAACTTGTGTTTATAAGGCTTGTGGGGAAATCTGCCCTGTCAGCAAAGTTTCCTGAGCAGCGGAAGGTGATATAAGTAGGGTTTTACATTTAATTAGATGGGTTTTCTCAAAAGCAATTGTTTTCTTAAACATTTTTTGATTTTTTTTCAATTGCTTTTGAGAAACTTACTTTTCTATTTGTTTCTGTTTTTAAACAAAATGCCACATTTATTATTTTTCTCTAATCCCCGACTTTCTAGGGGCCCTAGATCTTGTGCAAGGTAGTTGGTTACTTACTCAAGGTCAAATGGCTGGTAAGTAAGAGGATCAAGATTCAAAGTTGACTCAAAAACTTCAATGCTAGTCTATGGCCATGCTGCCCTGAACAAACTTGCTTGCTTCTGATCTCAGAGGCTAAGCAGGGTTGGGCCTGGTTATTACTTGGAAGGGAGACCCCCTAGGAAGACCAGGTGCTTTAGGAGTAAGCAATAAAAAATAAGGGATTGTAAGGTGACGAGGTCCTTGCAATCCGTGAGGTCAACCAAGGGTTGCCTCACTCCCCAAAATAAAAAAATAAATTAAAATAAAACTTCAGTGCTTTCCAATCCCCAGTTTGGGATTCTACTTACAGTCCTGGTTATCTCCATCCAGTCACTCCTGGGAACAAATACCTACTACTCTGGTTATATTGAGAGAAATGAGTCCTTAAGCTCTCCTCTGATCTCATTATGTTAGACTAGAAAAGACTATATCTCAATGCCAGCTACAGCTACCACTCCCTAGTCCATTCTTTTTTTCCATCTGCCCATATTCCAAAGCCAAGCCAAAACCCTTTTTTAAAAAAAGTATTGATTTTCTTGTCTGATAAAAATAGCGCTCAAGAAAGAAAACTTGGAAAACACAATGTATATATACATACATACAGATCTAAAGAGCACCTGCTGGCATGTGCCTCATAAGTCTTTTCCTGTTCATAGATATAGAAATTTATCTGCAGGATTGGCAATCCTTTGAAAAAAGGAGACCTTGCAAAATTACAATAGCTACCATATTTGAGTACTTACTATGGGGTCAGACATTTTACTTGTGCTTAACTTTATAATTCTTAATCCTCTTAACCTCATTAGATAGGTATCATACTAGTTGCACTTATTTGGTTATTAATACATTTGTTCATTCATTCAATAAATTTTAATATTGACTGGGTACTTACTAATTTGCCTGGCATCTAAGACACATCAATGAGCAAAAGAAACAAAAATCCCTGCCCTAGAGAAACTTATATCCTAGTGAGGGGAGACTAGCAGTGAATAATAATATAATTAACAATAATAAGCATGTTAGAAATTGGTGCTATGGAAAAAAAATTTTAAAGAGTAGTGGAGGGGCCTAGGGTTGCAATTTTGGATAGGGTGGTCATAATAGGCCTTTTGAGAAAATAATATTTAAGCATATACTTGGAGGAGATGAAGGAGTCAGCCATTCAGGTATCTGAAGGAAAAGCATTCCAGACAAAGAGAACAGAAAAGGCTTTAAAAGTGCAAAGTGCAAAGGCTTTGAAGCAAGAGCATGTCTGGAGTTGAGAAACAGCAAGGAGGCCAATGTGCATAGGCAAAATGATTAAATGGGGAAGTGCAAACAGCTTAAGGATTCATTTCTCTCAATATGACCAAAAAAGGAGAGTGCAAACCATGTAGGAACACCAGGGCTATAAGCAGCAAGCAGCTCTGAGGTCTCATCTTTATGGCTCCACATCTAGAGCTGAAAGAACACCTCTGCTCCTCCAGTTCCAAAAGGAAATTATAAGGGAATGACTTCAACAAGTTTCAGTTGCATTCATTCTTGGGCCAATTGCTGTGTTATAAAATGATTGACCCAATCAGGTCATATGTTACTCCCTGGGTGAGAGGGCAAGGTCTTGTATCAGGAAGAAGAAAATTAATTCTGGACAAAGACCCCTCATGTTATTAAACCCATTTAGCAGATATGGAAATGAAGCTCAGAGAGGTGAAATGACTTGTCTAGGGTCATACACATGTAATAGGGATTTGGGATTTGAAACTAGATTTGCCTTGAACACTATTGTGTTTTTTTTTTTTTCCTGCAATTTGAGCCATGTACAAGTTCAGTTGTTCCCGGTCCAAAGTCTGTATCCCTGATGCTTCAAAAGGCCAAAATTTGAAACCTCAGAATTTGGAGTAGGGAAAGGTGTGTTGATCAAGAAGTTGCCAATTGAAAATATGGAAGCCCTAGTGGTACTTCAACCCATCTTAAGAAAGTACAGAGTTAAGGCTTCTTTTATGTCAAGGAAAGGGAATATGGGAGGGGCAAGAAGTTATTGACCCAGCAATTTGGAAGACAAGGTAGTGG